CTGAAGGATCTTGCCAGTGAGACTTGGGCTTGACCTAACATGAGAGAGAATAGAGGAGTCAGTGTTACGGGAGAGCTGAGATTACGGGGTGGAGGTACCACTCTCCTGTGGTGATCGATATACCAAGGCTTATATATATATATATATTTGTGTGTGTGTGTGTGTGTGTGTGTGTGTGTGACAAGTAATGTTAATGCCAAAATTACCTTACTTTCAAGTGACAAATGCCCCAGAGGAAGTGTAAAGTGGGTCAGGAGATAGGGACTATGAAGGGAATACTACAATTTGAAGTTGATGGACCAGGTATTCAAAAAGGACACTATGACAATAATTTCAGAGTTTTTTTTTTTTTTTGAAGTAGAAGCAGCCCAAATGTTATACATGGATATATAGGCGATCAAATCATGTTACATATGCCCCATTGAATGTTGTCTATCCATTAAAAGGAATGACTACTAAACCTTACTCATCATGGAGGAATCTTAAAACCATCACATTAAGTAAAAGAAACCAGACATATGAGGGGATGTATTGTATCACTTTGTTGATATGAAATAGTCAGACTAAGCAAATACATGCAGACATGCAAAGGGTTAGTGCTTATCTTGGAGGATGAGGAAGGAGGGACAGAGAATGACTGGCACAGGTACAAGGTTTACTTTGGAGGAGATGAAAAGGCATTGCAGTTAGTGTTGATGGTCTTACCATGCTGTGAAGACACTGTCAGGGGTAGTGCGTGTTAAGCTGATTCATTTCGTGTTATGAGAATCTATCTTAAAATCAGGAGCAACAGAAGAAAAAGAAAATTGAAGAGTTAAAAATATCAGAAGGGTTGGTGAGGTGGCTCAGTAGGGAAAGGCTCTTGCTGCCATGGCTGACAATCTGAGTTTGATCCCTAGAATCCACACATTAGAATGAAAAACCTGACTTCTGGGAGAGGTTCTGTGACTGCCACATGTGTTTCATGGCATTCATGCTTTCTTGTACATACATACATGAATAACTAAATATACAGGAAAACAAGAAGAAAAAAACCAAAGGAAGGAAAAAAAGAGAAAGGAGAAGAAAAGGAAGAAAATGTAGTCTCCAGACATACTGGTTAGTTTTTATTAGCTAGATACAAACTACAGTCACCTGGGAAGAGAGAAAGTTAATTATGAAATCAGACTGGTCTGTGGGATATTTTCGTTGTTATTTGGTGCAAGAGGGTCCCTTGCTATCCCAGTGGGCAGGTGGGCCTGGACTGTATAAGAAAGGTAGCTGAGTAAGCCGGGGAAAGCAAGCCAGTAAGCAGCATTCCTCCATAGCCTCTGCTTCCACTCCTACTTCCAGGTTCCTGCCTTGAGCTCTTCTGTGGCTCTCAATGATGGATTGTAATCTATGAGCCAAATAATCCCTTTCCTTCCCACAAGTTACTTTGGGTCAGAGTATTCATCACCGCAAGAGAAAGCACATGAGGATATCAGGCTGAACCTTGTTGACAAGGTTTAACTTAGGCCCAGGTTGGAGGAGAAGAGTTAGTCCATGGGTAGCTCCAATGAGGTGTCCAGGGAGAAGGAGCAATGGGGATAGTGGAGTCTGACTTATACCTTTAATAAACAGTAGGAAGGGTCGAAAGACACAGGGCTAGAAAGGTGACAGGAAGCATCCTATCAATGAGTCCACATGGCTACTCAAGGATAGTGGCTTTTCCTCTTGCCAAAGTAGAAGGTACCAAAGAGTCTGCATACTTTGACTGAGGTTCTCAGGGGTTCTTTGGAGTCTGTGTATTCGGAGTAGACTGATGAGGTGCCAGAAATCTCTTACAACACTCTCCCGGGGAGCAGAATGGTATTGGATAGGTAGGGTATTAGTGGGGGTAGGGGAGGAGGGGATGGAGAGGGAACAGGGATTGACATGTAAAATAATCTTGTTTCTAATTTAAATAAATTAAAAAAAGAATTTAAACTTTCTATTCAACCCCCATCCACTACTCAGAGAGGGTAAGATCTCCCATGGGAGATCATCAAAGTCTGTCACATTACTTAGGGTAGGACTGAGGCCTCCCTTGTGTATCTAGGCTGAGAGAGTATCCTTCCATAGGGAATGGGCTCCAAAAGCCTGTTCATGCACTTGGGATAATACTGGTTTTACTGCCAGCAGCCCTATAGACAGCCCAAGCCCCCCAACTGACACCCAATGGGAAGATGGGAGGGAGAGCAGATAGCAATTGGTATGTAAAATAAGATTGTTTTTCATTTAAATAAAAATTAATTAAAAAAGAAAAAAAAACATATACAAGATGATGTCGAGGACGAGAAAGGTAAGAATAGAGGTGGGAAAAAATTGCAGGTAGGATGGACTTGAGGGGAATTTTGCCTGAGCCAATGATGGTGTGCTCATTGCTGATGAGAAGCCAAAGAGAAACCAACTTTCTTGGGGCAGGAGACAAGGCTGGAGGACACAGGATGTTAGGTTCTACAGATTGGAAACCTTTGCTCTTCTAGTTTGTTTTTCTCACTATAGCAGAAAGAAGAATGGTAGAAAGCATCAGAGATTGAGTGGCCCTGGAGCAGGTGAACCAAGGGATCCAGGAGGGAATGTGCACTTCCTGTGACAGTTGGCCAAGCCAGTCCAGGCTATATAGGATCTGTGGCTGACTGCTGACAGCCTCATACACAGTTTCATTAAGAAAAGAAAAAATGAAAATGCTTGAATATGTGTGTTTTGAATGTGACAAAAAAAGTTCCCAGTTCCTACAGTGGATTTACAGTAAGATCGGGGTACAGATAGCCAGCCTGGGAGGATTATAACATCTGTAGTTTAAACTAACATGCACGGTTGGCCAAGTCAAATGAATAAGCTTTGCATAATATCCCATTACAAATCATGCTCGTGCCACAGTCCAAATGGAAGGAACTGACTGCTGCCTCAGTACTATCAGAGGGATTTGTTCTAATTTGCTTCATATCAGAAATATCAGGGAACCAGATGACAAATAGTTTCAAAACATATGGCTTCAAAACTGTAACCCCAAATTGAGGGACTTAGTGCAAAATTACATTAGATTTTTATTCAGTTGATTTTGAAAGCAAGATAATTTGAAGAATTCATAAGGGGACATTTTCCAGAAAGATTGGCAGATACTGGACTGCTTCTGCTGGACTTGGCTACTTTACTCTCCTGTTTGGCTTATTGATTGGAGATCCTCTGTGTTCACATGTGCCTTATGCTGCCGGTTATGTAGTCACAAACAGCTATCTTCCATGTCTGTGAACCCAAACCGATGCTGAAATAAATGGCTTATTATTTCTTAAAGAACCTGATTATTGTTTTAATAACTCAAGTCCTGGTGACAAGAAGAGAGGTTTTGACCATGATAGTCTGTGTCTGTGTCTGTGTCTGTGTCTCTCTGTCTCTGTCTCTGTCTCTGTCTCTCTCTCTCTCTCTCTCTGTCAGTTGACCTGAGAAAAATGAAAAGAAGTTGACTTTTCTTGCTTCAACAACTTGGGTTAAATTATTGAATCAGTCTAGTCTGTGCTCTTATTTTCATCTATAACATTTGAATGATGCTGATGATAGTACCAAATTATGTAGTCTTGGATTTTACCCAGAATCTTGATGCGATCTGGATAATAAAAATCAAGAGTAGCCAGGAGCCCATGAGGCTTAAGGTCAATCCCCCAGCCAACAAAAAGCTTGGGATCTCCACCTTGCATAGTGTGTCAGATTAAGAGCTGACTAAACCTCTGGAAGAGATGCCAGGGGCATTCCCAGTCACCATAAGGAGCTATAGGGGACTGGCTCAAGGTGCCTTCGTAGCTAGCAACACCTCCACCCTTAGCCCCGCCTCTGGCTCAGTTCTATTTGGGGGCTAGTTTTTACAGTCAACCTGCTTGGGTTCTAATTCTCTTTGCACTGTGTTGTTTGGACTCCTCACTTAATCACAATGCCTCAATATTGTCATTTGTACTGGGATGAGAAGGACAGTGTGGCATTAGTTGAGTTGGGGAATGGAGAGCTGATATAGGCCAGTCACAGAGACCTGCATAAAGGAGATTCTTATAAAGACTTCAATTCTTTTTCTATTGGTGTGCTGGTCTGGGGATGGTTCTCAATCTTTCCTTTGTGTGAAGATGTCAAAGGAAGCCTCATAATAGAGCCATGACAATGATGATGTATAGTAAAGGTCAAAATCAGCCACTATCATTTGCTTCATGTAAAGCCCCAAGGGGTGATGATCGCCTTGCAGTTCGGTTATTTTCATCCCAGCTGAGAGTCATAACCTGATGACTGAGATGCTAGACTATGCTTTGGGCTGAGCCCAAGGCACTCTGTCCATTAAAAAATAACTTTTTCTTCCTCCCTCCCTCCCTCCCTCCACCCTCCTCCTCCTCCTCCTCCTCCTCCTCCTCCTTCTTCTTCCTCCTTTTTTTTGAGACAGGGTTTCTCTGTGCAACAGCCTGGCTGTCCTGGAACTCACAGAAATCCGCTTGCCTCTGCCTCTCAAGTGATGGGATTAAGGCGTGTACCATCTCTGGCTCTTGCAGAACATTTCTAAGCACCCATGTAGCATGAAGTCCTTGTGCATCTCAGGGTTCACATTCCCCGCTGCCCCCCTTGCCCTTGCCCTCCCCTACCTACTGTCTGTGGTGGTTTGTGTAATTGACTCCACCACAAAAGCTGATTGTGCTTCCTGCCTGGTGTCAGCCAAAGGTTGTGTTAGGGAGTTGCTGAAGGACAGTCTAGTGTGTGTGTGTGTGTGTGTGTGTGTGTGTGTGTGTGTGTGATTTGGAACTGAATGTTGAGACATTGAGAAAATAAATAGCATTATTTATCTCCACTGGAGTAATCCTGATAAAACAGGGGGAAGTGATTTAAGCAATTCTCCTGAAATGGCTTTTAACGTTGTCCTTATGGTTAAATATTTATGTGGTAAGTTTAAGAATTCTTAGTGAGTGAGACAGCAACATTTCTGAACAAGTCACGGATTTTGGCTAAAACTCAAATTTCATGGTGGGTGGGGTAGAAAAATTACAGGATGTCTGTGTGTTTAAAATGAAAGTGGGAGCATGTCTACATGGGTAGTCTACAGAAAGGAGACAACGGAATACCAAAGGCTGGGAAGTAGTCTCAGTGTCCTGAACTCATTCTCCCCAGCCCTTCATTTGGGGTAAGAATTGATGACTGTCTGGCTTGTAAAAGAAAAAGTATCTGCAATTCAAAGAAATACAATCTCTTGACATTACTAAGTATTTTCTTATTTGTTCCTACCTGTATCCCTTCCCTAGTGGCTGAAGGGAAAAAGCTACAGTAATTGATTCTTTTGTCAAAAAGGAAAAGGAAGGGGTTTAATTGTTTTCAGACCTCCAGCAATCCTCTGTGGCTCTTGAGAACAAGCTGAAGCAGTGACAATTATTTGAAAGTTTGGAGAACAGTCTTGAATGGCTTTTGGCTGGTTTTGGTTCAAAGTTTTCCTTCCTTAGTGCTTTTGTGACAGTTATCTGTGGGTACCGGAGTGTAAACCAATAGACGTGTGCATGTTGCTTCTGGCCTGCTACAGGGCTGTGGTTTTGCATAAAATTGCTTCCTAACATCTACTCAATTTTATGCTTCTGATTTTTTCAAATGTAGGAATTTGTTTTCTTTCCTCTTAACCTTAGCTTCTTCATAGTATTGCTCAAGAGACTGGTAAGGTATGATTGTGAAATTATCTAGTCATTGGGAGAGCTGCTCTCTTGTTTCAAGTTCAATAGGAATGAATGCAGCACAGTATACTTGAAACCTACTATAAGTAAACATAATAAATATGTGTTAATTGACTGACTCTCCTTTATGGTCTCTAGTAAGTAAAAAGCAGGGCAAGATAAATATTTTCCTTGTGGTTTTTTTTATTTCTTTTTCAGTGGCTACAGTGACTTCTCTTCTGGACCCTAAGTCAGACAGCACTCATCAAACACCTAGTGAACACATCATTACTATTCTGTGTCATTGATCCACCAGGGGACCTCAGCAATCAATCACCAGCACACAATTGATAAACAGAATGGGGCTTTGGGCTTTGGCAATCCTGACAGTTCTCATGTATTTCACAGTAACGAAGAGCAGTAAGTATTGATTCTCAGATAAATTGTATGCTTTTTGGCTTAAGTAATTCGGAGAAAACATTTGCTGCATTTCAGTTGCTTGCTTCTAGTTGTTTGGGGACTGAATTGTGTGCTACAAAATTATTTCCTCTTCACTCATTCTTTATGGTAAATCTCTCAGAAAGAATCCCTTATAGTGAGGAGATCACAATTTTGAGTTACATAAATCAAGATTTAACACAGTAGCTGCATGTGGGAGGCATTGCACTGTGAGTATTTATTGACTGACAATGTGTTCAGGTAAATATAGGTGCTTTCCCCGAGGAGCAAATGGAGACATAAGCTCAAACTGATTCCTTAGTCTATTGCACCGTGTAGAGCATTTAGTAAAGACTTCTGATTGTTGACTTATTATTTCTCAAAGCATCACAATATATGATCTCTTTAGAAATCTAATCGTGGATGGAGACATTGAGTTATATAAAGAGAACTGTGATCTTTTCACATGGCCATTTCAGGATCGTGTCCACATTTTCTTTGTAGGTCAACCATTCTGGGGTCTGGAAAATGAGGCTTTAATTGTGAGATGCCCCCAAAGTGCAGGCTCACTTTATCCAGTGGAATGGTACCACTCAAATACAAATGAAAGTATTCCTACTCAAAAAAGAAGTCGGATCTTTGTCTTAAGAGATCGTCTGAAGTTTCTACCAGCCAGAGTGGATGACTCTGGGATGTATGCTTGTGTTATCAGAAGGTATTGTACAGGAAACAGTGATGAGCCTTGGCTCTGCTCCCTTTTCACTAATGATGGATGGCCCAGCTGTCATTGCTTTCTCTCGGCTCTGCCCCCCACCAGTGGAATGGTTAAATTTATAAAGTGATTCGAACAAGGAAGTGTGCCTGAGAAGACAGCAGCCTGGTGGATGATAGGCTATGGAATGTACCACAGCAAGGATATATATATCTCCTAATTAGAAAAGTGCCCATCTTTTCTAGTGACCCAAGAACAACGAGTCATCCATAACTGTTGTCTGGGAGTAGGAACAAACTAGCATAACAAATGGAAGTCCAGAGAGTTGGCATTACAAAGATCTGTGTTGGGTGAAAAAGCTTAGATGCAGAGCCTAGACAAAGACATAGACTGCAGAGACCCAGGGTATATATCTTCAAATGCCCCAGTCTGAACTGCAATTGCTTCGTGTTTAGATTTCTCACTGCCTCTGGTACTCACAAAGTGTCAGATTATCCTAGGTATAGCTTGATGCCTAGGTTTCGAGACTACAGTTTCCAACCCATGCCCTTCTACTAGTTAGGTGTGTGGTGCACCATGTAACTTCTCTGTCTCTCAGTTCCTCATGTGTAAAATTCTTACTATAGTATCATGATCCAAAAGTAAAAAGAAAAAAAATCACTGTGAGACTAATATGATGTAATCCACAAAGAATGCTTATCTCTCCACCTGGCTCAACAAACAGGAACACAGATTTTACTTAGGATCCTAGCATTACAGTAGGTGAAGCCATTTTCAGAGGTTTGCTTCGTCTCAAGGGTAAGAAAGAAATCTTTAAAAGCTCAGGATTTTGATTATTTTGCAATAAGAGAACGGTATGCATCATTTTTGCAAGAGCAACATTGTGCAAGGGATAGAGTTGAATTAAGCTATCTCATGTATTACTTTTTAAATGCTTGCCTTCTTTCAATAGTCCAGACTTGAATACGACTGGATACATGAATGTCACCATACATAAAAGGCCTCCAGGCTGTAGCATTCCCAGTTATTTGATGTACTCAACAGTAGCTGGATCAGAAAAAAATTCCAAGATAACTTGCCCAACAATTGGCCTTTATAATTGGACAGCACCTGTTCAGTGGTTTAAGGTAAAAGGTTGAAATTTGGGGAGACAGGGGTAAAATTAGCACAATTGATGTAGTTGAAAGTGAAAAGCTCAGCGGGAGAGAAATGGAATGTTTTCCTTGTTGTTGCTTCAGAACTGCAAACCTCTTCAAGGACCAAAGTACAGGGCCCATAGATCATACTTGTTCATTAACGATGTGAGGCAAGAAGATGAAGGTGACTACACATGTAAATTCACACACACTGAGAATGGAACCAATTACACAGTGACTGCAACCAGATCATTCACGGTTGAAGGTAAGCTCCTGCCTTCAACAAGGTTCAAGATTCAAACAAAAACAAGAAGGTAGAACTGAATACTTCCTGTTGCATTTCCTATCCTCTATCCATAGTCTCTTCTCTTCTGTGTCCCATCCACACACTCCACTATGACAAGAAGCTGCTGTTGCACAGTAAGGTTTAGGAATTCCAGGGAAAGATTTTACATTATTGAACCAAAGCTATATATAGCTATTTTTTCCCCTTTGGAGACAGATTTTCAAGGATAACAAAGTATGAATTTACTTCTTTTTGGACTGATTTCCAGACTGTTCATATACCTAAATACTGGATGTTCCAGTTTCATATATTTTCTCAGCATAAACAGGTATTCTGCCTGATAGGAAATAATGGCAAGGGCAAAGTCAAAGAAGCTACTAAAGTCTGTGCATAGCTGGCTGAGTTTATGGATATAGGAACCACAAATATGGGGACCTGAGTGTAACAGGAAACAATGACCTTTACACACACTTCTGAGTGTTTTCCCGTCCTGGCTTATGATGCTTTTGATATCATCAGCGTCTTCAAAGCAAGTCATTTGCTTAAAAAAGTACTCTTTTCCAAATACATTTCCAATATTACAGAAGCCACTTGAGGAGGATATTTCCTAATCATATCTGATGGAGTTTACAGAATTGAGGTCTTCTGGGCATGGTTTCCTGTATAGAGGAGATCTCAACATCCAAGTGGCAATGAACAAGAAATGAACTAGCAATATTGAAGAAAATGTTTTGTTTAGAGCCTTTTCAGTACTCCATTGCATCATCAGACCACAGTTGTGTTTGTGTCTCTCATTGTTTAATGTCAACTCCTGCAATGTTTCCTAATCTCAACACCCTGAAATAAATGAGCACTTCAGAATGAGGGATTCATCCATGTTCCAAGAGACTTCCTGCTTCCCTCTGTCTCAGCCTCAGTGGCCATATGAAGGAGACCCCACCTCCCTCCCAAGGAGGAATGCAGTGGTGGAGGGTGTTGAGCAGCACACCAGTTGGCTCATGAATGCATCACTTTCATGAGTCTATTGACTGCCTGTTCTCTGTACTTTTCTGCCTATCCTACAGAATCATGGTTTTCAAATGATTGCTAAGTCACACAACTAATGTGTTAAACCAGCATTTGTAATAATGACATAGAAGAGAATAGACGATACCACAAAAAAGTGTCAGAGTAATTAGAAAAAGTATTGCTTAAAATATTTGTTTCATTGGTGTATGTGCATTGCCAAAGCTTATTTTCAAAACAGTTGACACAATGCTGTGAAATAAAATAGAACTATGAAAAGACCAGCTTATATTGATGACTAATCAATGTATTAATACTTACATTCTATTTCTGCTTTTTAATTTTCAGAAAAAGGCTTTTCTGTGTTTCCAGTAATTAAAGCCCCTCCACATAACAGAACCATAGCAGTGGAAATAGGTAAGAAATTCATTTGTTTGTTTGTTTTTTCAAGACAGGTTTCTCTGTGTAACAGCCCTGGCTGTCCTGAAATTTACTCTGTAGACCAGACTGGCCTCACACTCACAGAGATCTGCCTTCCTCTGTCTCTCAAGTGCTGGGACTAAAGGTGTGTGCCACCACCTCCCAGCTGATGGGTAAGAAATTTTTTAAACAACTCCCTGTTAACCTGGAAAATATTTCCTTATGATTTTGGGTCTGGTTTCCTATGGAAAGGTCATGTAATCAGTAGAAGGAAACTTGGGGATCATGTGAGGTTGCAGCATGGAAACACCTGTCCCCATCAGACCAAAATGCAACATTGTATTTGTACTGAGATTTGGAGTTCTTAGCTCTCACTTAAGCATCTCTTCTTGTTGTGGTCACTTCTACTTTTGAGTAACAGGTTCGGAGATGCTCAAAGGCACACCCAAGGTCATTGATGAGTGACAGTGAAAGAATAAAAATACAAATTCATGAATCTCTATGTCTCTTCTCTTTTTGGTTTCCATTTAAAGCTGGATAGAATGAAAAAAGACTTGGTGTCTGAAACACCACCATGAGTTGTGCCCCTTTCTTTCATCACCCATCTGTAACCTATAACTCTACCCACACTCCTGGCCTCAGTGTATCACTCTAATGAGCAATATGCTGTACATTCTTCCCTATTATGCCTACATTGTTATTCATCATTTCAGGGGAGTATGATTATATATAACTTCTTGTTTGTAATCCATCTTGCCACCCTTTTCTTTGCCAAAAAAAAAAACATTTGGTTCTGTATCATCAGTTCCAGTCTTGGGCACTACCGTTTCCATCTACAGTGTGGCAGCTTCTAATCCTTTCTCCATAGCTTTGCTGTTCCAGAGAATCTCTCATCCTCATGCTAATGATATGCCTCATTTTAGGCAGGCTTCTGGTGGGAACCTGTAGTCCAGGAAGGGAGGGCTGAATCACTGTTTGACTGTGGCCAAAATCAGCTCTGATGTTTTGAAAGAACATCTCAAGTTAAAGGGGGTGGGATGGAGCACTGGGAAGTAAGTACTTTTTGTGACTGATTACATTCAGGAAAATGGTTGGGCTGGGTAAAGGCAACTCATGGAGCAACAAGGAGAATTCCATGGGAAGAGACAGACATGGAAGGGACCAGTGAAAAAGAAACTCACATTTCAACTCTCTGCAACTCTTTCATGATTATGTGAGGCTGTGAAGTTAGGGCCAGCTTAGTTTTCCCAGAGACAAGAGGGTGGTGGGGCTCTGAGGAAAATGGAGACACTGACAGGGGTGGGGGTGGAAAGCAAAGAGGGAGATGAGGAGGGGAAGGAAGGAGATGAGGGCAGAACTGTAGAAACTTTACTACAGTGAGTGATGCCACTTGCAGAATTTAATTTTCCTCGTGAACCTCTTCACTTCCCATCTAGGAAAACCAGTGACTATCACTTGCTTAGCTTGCTTTGGTAAAGGCTCTCAGTTCTTGATGAATGTTCGGTGGCAGATTAATAAAAGGAATGTTGAAACTTTTGGCGAAGCAAGAATACAAGAGGAGAAAGAACAAAATCAAAGGTATTTAATCTATCGATTATCTATCTAGCTACATATGTATTTATTGAGACAACGTCTTACTATGTAGTGCTGGCTGGTGTGGAGCTTACTGTGTAGACCATGCTAGCCTCCTACTTCTTGAATGATGGGGTTAGAGGCATGTGTCACCATGCCTAGCTATTTCTATATTGAATTGAAACATCCCCATCCCCTTCTCACAGCTGGCATTTGCCAGGAAAACATTATCGGTAACATGTTGCTTTCTCAGTTCCAGCAATGGCATGGATTGTTTAACCTCAGTGTTAAGAATAACTGATGTGAGAGACAAGGATTTGTCCCTGAAATATGACTGTCTGGCCCTGAGCCATCATGGCATGATAAGGCACACTGTGCATCTGAGAAGAAAACAGCCAAGTAAGGACTGTCCCTCACCCTTAGCTTGACTAAAATGGCAGAATCAACTGTAAACTGCAGCCATTTTCTCAGAGGACTGTGCATTGCAGTTTGGTCCTAGAGAATTTATCAAGATCGTAGGACTTGTTGGTTTTCCTCATGAAGTGTGTTTCTCCTCTTGAGGATGCTCTTTAAATCTGGTCTTTCTAGAATGTTTCCGTCTTCCAGGAGGACTCTGTGCCACTGTATTCCTCCTCTCTCTATTCCCCCTCCTCCCTTTTCTCCCCACAGTCCTCTTCATACTCTTCACCTTCCTTTGCATGTCCTCTCTTCCTTTTCCCTTCCCTCTCTTCACCTGTAAGTGGCTTCCTCAGTCATCCTTTGCACAGTCCACAAGAGACATTGGTGCTTATATTGGGCTCAAAGTGGGAATAAACATGTTGTGTCTCTTTGTGTAATCTTGTCATGGAAAACAATTTACAAACTTTCATCCAGAGTACTTATCGATGTCCTTGCTTGGTCTTTGAGTTTACAGCTACTATCATCCTGATAGATAGATGACCACTTTGATTCCATTTGAAAAGAGTGGAGAGAAAATATTTTTACCCTTATCACTCTCTTTTATGATACTTATCACTCCCCTAATGGCAATACAACTAATGTAAAGATTTTTTTTTTTTTTAGTTTCTTTCAAATATCAAGAGGGTTGGGGAGGGAGAGAGATACCAATTCTAAGCTGATAGCAATATGTGGAGCATTGGCTTGGATGAAAACATTGATTAAAAAGATAGGGTGGGGTACAAACTTGATATAGTCATGCCATGTCTCTGCCTGATGTGGTACTTGGGATTTTTATTATTTTTGTTTGTTTTCACTATGGGGACCAACCAGGTCTTGAACTCAATAGAGTTCCACCTGCTTTAATCCCAGGGACTGGGATTAAAGGTATGTGTCACCGTATTGCTTTGGTTTTGATTTTAGCCTCTGACTTGTAAATATTTATATAAAAAAAAAGAGTTGTGATTCTCAATGACCAGAATTGTGATGATCAGACTCATAGATGACTCTTAGTGCTGTTGTATTCCTCAAAACATTAGGCATCTGCCCTGATAATGGTGTTAGGATGACTGTGGGCCACAGCACTGTGTTATAGGACTATAGTGGGAATAGTTAATTTTACAGGGAAAGGGAAGCCACATACCTACTCTCACCCAGCATGACCTTGTGTCCCTCCTCTGCTAACAGTATCTTTTGTCTAGATTTCTGAATATTTTCTAGTTATCTTTGTTTTGGAATTACATTTGTGTTATCTGGAATTTTATATTTGTTTTTTTTTTTTGTGTGTGTGTGTGTGTGTGTATGTGTGTGTGATTTTGTACTCTCTGGTTTATTTTTAATTCACCTGTTATTATTCAAATCAACATGTTTATATTGCTTCAACAACTCAGTATATTAAATAAAAATTGTCTCCATTGCCGTTGGATTATTACAATGAATTCTTTTGTTTCCGAAATTCTGGTATTTCTTACGTTTGAAAAACAAAAACTTAAAAAAGCCTTCCTCTACATATTTCTAAACACTGTTATGTGCAAATTTACTGTCTGCTATACCCATAGTACACACACATATTCAAAGTTTTCTATGCACAGGCCAGATCTAATGACTTTCCCTTAGAATTTCTCATTTATCACCACCACACCTATACTATCCGTTAATTTCACTAAGTGAGGAAGAAAGGGCAAAATAAGCCCAAGGGATTGCCAAGTACTGTAATCCTAGACTTAGCACTCAACAAAGATGACATGTTCCTGTTTATAAACACTGACAAGAAGCATTTGAGTCTAGCCATTGATGAGAAAATTTACTTGTACTTTACAAAGTCATAAGCACTTAGATAAACATTGAACATCAACTTTCAGACATGTCTTGAATCAAGGTCTTGCCTCTTGTTGAATGTGTTCAGCTATCCACATAGGTAATTTGCCAGAAAGAGTCCCTATAAGAAGTAGATTTCCCACATTTCCCTAGCATGTATCCATTTGGACTTTTAGACAGTTTTTCCAAATGAGTTCCTTGGGAAGTTCTTATTTAAACCTAAAGAAATAGAGACCACAACCTCTGGCCTGTTTTAAGCTCTCTCCTCATGTTTGGATCACCAGAATCTGATGTCTTGAGTTTATTGTCCTGCATACACACAATGGTAAACTATCAGGGGTGGTAGAGGAATTTGTAAGTACTAGTAGAGATTTTCATGTCAGATCTTGGGGCCTCTGCATGGGGACTTACAAATAAGATGAAAAAAGAACTACTTCCTAGGTTGGACTTATGAGACTCCTCCTGTTCATGTGTAAGCAGCACCACTCCTAAAAGTCTACAAGGATCATAAAGTTAAAATTGCCAAGAATACCATGAATGACAACAATTCCTATGTTAGATTTGTATGTGTGTCTTACAAATTCCTGAAGTTGGGAGCCATGTCACTTGTTTGTTTTGAGAAACAAGAAAATGTGGGACCAAGCTCAGAGATAGCCAAAGGAAGATCTCAATAGTGGATGGCACCAGCATTATAGAACTGAGTAATTTGATTTCTCCATTACACATACTCAGTGACCTGCAGTCTTCTTTTCTACATCCCCTACCCTCTAAATTCAGTAAGTCCTCTGACCTACTGACTCATGCTCCTCAGTGTTGCCAAAAAACATTTACCTTGCCAATTCCTTTCTTATTATTTCATGAGGTTATATCCTCATCTTCCCCTCAATCACTTACCCTATTATATTCATTGAATGTGTCATCGCCTCCTATAAAAACAAGCTTTACACTATCATCAGATTAATTTTGGTAACAAGAACTTTTGTTTACAACACTCCGTTTTTTCATATTTTGGCAAATTCCATAGCAAGAGTTTCTGGTCAAACATAGCCCTAACCACATCTTCCACTGATTCTCCAGGCTGAAATTTTGTAGTTCTCAGAACACATACTCCCACCTCTGCATATGGCTTCAGCATCCTCTATGGACCAGAAGGGGTTGCTTTTTCTGCATCTTTCTAAATCCTCCCCATCCTTTAGTGATCTCATTCTACAGGAAAACCTCATTATTTATTCTAGCATAGAGCAAGCTCCCTTCAAAATATCTGTCAGTTGAAACCTCTTATCTCCTTACTTACTTGGGTGTTTACATGTGTCTGTGTCTCCTTCACCTTTAAGAACACTATGCTAGCAAGCCTCAAGGCTTGCACAGAATATGGGATAATACAATTGATTTGTTGATTTTGAAAGTATTCATGAAAATCAATGTTCGTTATTGGGTGAGAATGTTGTGAGGTTTCAAGGGATGTCAATGTTGTACCCATCCATTCTATCTTATTTTACTAATGCTAATCATAGTTTTTCTCTTCTCTCCATCCCTTGACAGTTAATCATCAAAGCACCTACTACATAGTTGCAGGATGTAGTTTACTGCTAATGCTCATCAATGTCTTGATGATAGTCTTAAAAGTGTTCTGGATTGAGGTTGCTCTGTTCTGGAGGGACATAGTGACACCTTACAGAACTCAAAATGGTGAGTGTCAAGTTCAAGATTCTCTTGTCAAGAAAAAGTCCCACGGTGACTACTGGTATGCTGCTAAACCCAGTTTTCATTGCCTTTGTAACCTCATCAATGAGATCTTTGAGTCTACATAGATTATATTCCGTGCTTCTCCTGTCACTCCTTGTGCTCTTGGCATTCATCTCAAATATTCTCCTTGGTGGAATTACTATTCTGAGCAAGCCCCTGATAACAGAATCTGTCTGAGGCCCACAGAGGTTTCAGTGTTTCGGGAAATACCTGTTGATAAAACTTTATGAAATGATAACAATAAAATCACCCCTGCTTTTCAGGTTTGAGCAAGTGAAGAAGAAGCACCAAGCACATGCTAATTTTCCCTGAATCCTTGTTCTATGAGTACACACTTTATACATGCAAAAAGAGTGCTGGTGAAATGGGAACATTTACCTTTATTTGAAAGTGAACAGGTTAGGTATTTGTGGATGAAGGCATCAACTAGCAGGTGGTTGTTTGATTTGTGGGAAATCCAGACCCTTTATGAAATTTTACTACCTTCACTATTAGTCTTTAGCATATGAACTTCTTCTGAGGAAGTGTTATGGTTCCCGTAGATCCTTGATTTTGCCTTTCTAGGTCAACTGAAGCTCTAAAAGATTAAATGAAGAATTTCTGAAAGAAACAAGTATGAGTTTTAAGTGGAACATGATTCTGAGATGAGTGATAAAATCAGTGTCCTGCTCTGTCTTGCCTGGGAAATGATCCATCTGTTAATTCAATGTATCCATGCTGTATGCTACCAGCCCACTAGTCAGTGACTATATTAGTTCCCAGGTTTTCTGTTAAAATACCACAGTGCTTGTGTTTGAGTAACCATTGTTTTACTTTGAGATAACGGCCATAAAGTGCTAGACTAGTGATGCTGTCAATTTTGTTATAGTGCATTGTTCCATCTTGATCATGGATCATTAGTTAGAGTTGTTAAAGTTTTACTGTGCCAAGTTTATAAATTAGTCATAGGTATGTGTGTCTAGGAGAAAATGTAGAACAGTGGGATCAGTACTGTCTGTGGCTTCAGATATCCACTGGAATCTGTGTGATGTGCCTACGTGGGAAATGTGTGGGGAAAATGTAACAGGCAACAGGCACAGAAGGAGACCCCTATTGATAATGATAAATATTAACAGCTCATTAGCAAACTTGAAGAATACTGAACAGACTCTGTTCTCTACCATTCAAACTAAGATGTCAGAAACAAACCAACCAAACAAACACCAACCAACCAACCAACCACAACCAACCAACCACATCAACCAAACAAACCAACAAACCAACCAACAAACCAACTAACCAACCAACCAACTTTTGTTTTAGAGCGGTTATTTCCTGGTCACATTATATAACTGCGGGTTGTTGGTATCTTTTGATTTTATGAGTATTTGGGAAGATGAAGCATATTCGCTAACAGCTATACAACTTGGTAGGGACTGTCTCTCAGCAGACAGATGAGAGATTTTAGAACCAATAATGAAGTGGTACTTCTTGGTTTCATTCTCAGATGGCAAGCTCTATGATGCTTATGTCATTTACCCACGAGTCTTCAGGGGCAACTCAGCAGGAACCAGTTCTCTGGAGTACTTTGTTCATCACACTCTGCCCGATGTTCTTGAAAATAAATGTGGCTACAAGTTATGCATTTATGGGAGAGACCTGCTGCCCGGACAAGGTAAAACTGCCACCACAGGTCAGGCATTGAAATTCATTGAAAAAAATCTGAAAAGGTGACCAAGAGACGGCAATGTTAGGTGATGGGGGTGGGGTGGAGGGGGGAAGGGCATATGGAAAGGGAAAGCAATAAAGAACCCAGGGCAGCTATAAGGGGTGTGAGGACAGCAAGGGGTGGGAGAGATGAGGAAAGGAGAGCCATAGAAATCCACTTTGTAAAAAAAAAAAATCATTATGGTATCTAACATATTACACATAAATTTTTTAAAATGTAAATGTAAAAAAGTTACATAGAGTATTAGTGAGAGTTATATATTTGCATTGACACTTTAATGTATCAGGTGAAAGATATGCACGCTTTCCTACACTGCATTTTTAAACTTAACGTTCATAGTAATGAGTAGAGGCAATTCTCATTTTCATAACATTCGAGCTATAATGGGGAATTTAGCTTAGAATATTTACTTTGTAATAAACACATATTCATGAAAAAAAATTCATGAAAAGAGATTTGGCCTCCTTACTGATTGGTGAAGGACTTTCATTGATCGTTTATCTCAGACGCAAGACCAGAGACTAACTATTGGTTGATTATTTTGAGATAGAATCTTTCCTGCTTTCCCAGGCTTGAAACTCACCATGGGTTCAAACTCAGGCTGGGTTCAAACACATGACAATTATTTTGCTGGTCCAAGACCAGAGCTTTTAGACTGTTTCTCTCCGGAGATGCTCATTATTTACTCTTCTTATTCCACCCTTGTCCTGACAATGAGATGTTCACAGTAGTGAGGATGGAATATGGTGGTATCAGTCAAAGGCTTCACCTGTGCACTAGTTGCTATTGCCCCAGTTTTGTTTCCTTTGCATTCCTCTAGAATAACTCTGAAACTTTTAAAAATTAAACATTACATATTTTCCCCCTTTCTTCCCTCCGTTTAGTCCTTCCTCCTTTTCCCTTGAAATGAAAGCCTTTTTCTCCCTTTTGTTATTGCTGTGCGAGGCCCCCCACACACACCCACACACACACACACACACACACACACACACACACACACACAGAGTACCTCATCCCATTTTGTGTTACATGTATGTATGTGATTTCAGTGTTGCCACTTGGTATTACATAATCAATTAGGGAACTCATGCCAAGGAACTCTTTTACTTTGACTATTCCTTAGGTGTCTGTAAGTGTTTTTATTTGTTTGTTTTTGTCCATGGCTTGGACATCATGAGATTTCCCCTTCTATGCTAGCATATCTGTTGGTGTTGTACATTTTCAGGTCTTGTTTAGACAGCCATATTGTTTAGGTATCATGAGTGAAACTGCCATGTCATTTCTAGAAGATACAACCTCACAGCAGTTGACCTGGTCTTCTGCCTCTTAACAATCTTTCCTCTCCCTCTTCCCAGATATTCCCTGAGCCTTAGGTGAAGGAGCTTCATTGTAGATTCCCAGCTGTGGCTTGGCACTGCACAATTGCTTGCTCTCTGCTTTTTGACCAGTTGCTGTTAGCTGTAATTGTCTCCATCTGTGTTTCTGTGTCCCAGGGGCTAGCTGGAGGATCTATGGCAGGAGGGGTCTAGAATCTCAAGAGTTATGAAGTGGGGAGGTCACAGTCTTTTACAGTTGGGCAGAACCATCTCTGAAAACATCTTATTCTCTCTAGGAGACCTAACATAGATTTGGAAAAAAAAGATTTTGACTCTGACATTCAGAGCCTATAGTGAAGATATTTGAAAGAGCTAACAAAGTCCTGCTGATTTTCCTCAAACTGTTAAATAGTTTGCAAATTGTATTTTCAGGGCAGCAGAACAGTGCCTTCTGTTTCTTACTATTCTTAGCTAATCTCATGTACTTTTGACTATTTCATCACAACTCCAGCCATTTCAACACACTTTTTTTTCTGCCCTCTATATGTTTAGACCAAGAGTTTTCTAACTTTCCCTGTCAACTTTTCTTCCATTCCTCAGAGGTCAACAGTGGTTTAGAATGAGAATGGGGAGAGAACATCATAGGCATACACCTAGTGAAGCTCTTGTTTACTTTAACTTTTTAAATTAACATGTCTACTAAAGGAGAGGGATTTAAGTACTGATGCATTAATAGGCATGTGCACAGAGCAATCTGGTTTCTTCTCAAATATCTGATCAATGCTTATGGAAGACGTGAAGATGTACAAGTTAGAAGGATGCAATCTTAGTCTTCTTAGGGACACTCCCTGCTTTGTCATCTCTCCCACAGATGCCTGTATGGGTAGAAAATAGTGGTCAATGGTCACTAGTGTTCTTTCTATGTCCCAAGTCTGTTCAAGGATCTGTAGGAACTCTACTTGTCTATGAGGATATACCCAGCTGCCAGATCTTCATCTCTTTTTCCCCACTTCATCCAACTAATTTTTTTTTTTTTTGTCTTTTGAGACAGGGATTCTCTGTGTAGCTTTGTAGACCAGACTGGCCTCGGACTTACAGAGATCCACCTGCCTCTGCCTTCTGAGTGCTAGAATTAAAGGTGTGAACCACCATTGCCTGGTGAACCAGCTAATTTCTATTAACTCCTCCATATCAGCCAAGCTCAGATGCTTGGATGCTTGTATTGTCTTTGTTAGATGGCAGCACTGTCTTGTGGATGGTTTCCACTTCTCCTCTCTCAATGCATGAACCCTGATCTTTCCTCCACTGTAAGCACAGCAAAGCTAAGAGAACACTGCTCTTCACTTAGAAAAAGCTGGTAGCTGGCCAGTGCACTGTGCTTATTTTCTTGCTAGCTGTCTTCCAGTCTCCCCTGATGTCCACTCCATATCCCCTTCCATCCAGGATGGAAGATCCCAACCAGCACAAAGTTCCATCTGTCACCATTTCATTCCTTTCCTCATTCCATCTGTTTAGAAGTAACCACTGCTCTCTATGAAGATCTCAAGTTGCTCATGACTTCACTTGTTTCATGTACTTTTACCCTCTGCAGTGAGTTCTAGTTGGGTCATATTTTTTTTTTTTCTAAGTCCACTCAGAGCATCACCTTGGCCTTGACTCAGGTACAAAGGAGGACTTTGAAAGGAGATATGACTTTTCTTAGGATTATTTTTTTAAAGCATGGGTTGAATCAGTTCTCCAAACAGAAATCATTGTGGGGTAAAGTGACCCAGGACTTCTCTTGTGACATTGGTCAGTTGGGAGGATCAATGCTTGGTGAGTTTGCATCCTTTGGTGTATGAATTAAAATGCTGACCATCTGCTAAACATGTCAATAGCCAGCCTAAGAAGATAATAGATTAAGAATGAAATTTCAATGAACCTGAAGTCTAAGTCCCCCATGAAATGATAGACTAAGAGACCTTCACTTTTCTGGGCAACTGGGAGGACTCCTCATTAGCATTGATTTGCCTGGCTAAACAGAAGGCTCCTTGGACAGATATTTTTGTAGCAAAAATCAGTAGCATCATTTCTAATTTCTGAATATGACTGCATCAGCTCAGAATCTCCCAACAGACTACAACAATAAGAACTTTTAAATGTCCAGAACATTCTTGATTCAAATATTAAATGTACAAAAGGAATGACTGGAGGTCTCTCTCCATCTCCCGACTCTAGACGCAGCCACCGTGGTGGAAAGCAGTATCCAGAACAGCAGAAGACACATGTTTGTCCTGGCCCCCCTCATGATGCACAGCAAGGAGTTTGCTTACGAACAGGAGGTTGCCCTGCACAGTGCCCTCATCCAGAACAACTCCAAGGTGATTCTTATTGAAATGGAGCCTCTGGGTGGGGCCAGCCCACTGCAGGTTGGAGATCTTCAAGATTCTCTCCAGCATCTTGTGAAAATGCAGGGGACCATCAAGTGGAGGGAAGACCATGTGGCCAACAAGCAGTCTCTAAGCTCCAAATTCTGGAAGCATGTGAGGTACCAAATGCCAGTGCCAAACAGACTACCCAAGACGGCGTCTTTGAGTGACAAGACATGCTTGGACCTGAAACAGTTTTGAGTTGTGGCCACTCAACTCTGACCACCCAGAGTTGGATGTGTCCCAGCAGCTGGGCAGTGGAGTGGACCTGTGAAGACTTGGGATGTCAAGGGTAGCAGCCACAGTCCCAGTTAACAAACTACTCTAGTTTGTTTTCCTGCTTGTGGGTGGGGCCCCACCTCTCTTCTCTATGCTCTCCTTTGCCCATTTCATTCGTTTGGGGCACAAGAACCTCTCTGTGCCGTTTCTTCTCCTCCACTTCTCTCTTTCTTCTTTCCTTTCAATCCTCATCAATAATTTACTCTCTGGCTATCAAGCTGGTGCTTCTAGAGTAAAATCTGATTCATTTCTAAGAGCATCCTCATGCCCAGAGGCAGCACACCATAGTAAATCACATTCCCAACACACCAGAATTTCATTCTTATATTTTTAACTTGTCAGTTACCCAGTTTTGTCATGTCAATATCATCAAATTTTTCAAGTACCGTATCCAAGTTGCCCTTAAGTAAATCTTTTTTTCAGTTCTAAATGTCTTTCATGTAGTTTTATTCTCTTTAGAAATATTTTCTCACAAGAAAAGCAATAAAGGTATATTTGAAAACAGAAAGTAAGAAAGAAAATATAATAAAAAAGCAACCATAACCCTGCCATCTTAAGATTAATTTTGGCAAGTAAGCCTGTATTTTAAATATAATTAAGATGTATATATGTGTAATTTGTATAGCTGGGACTTACAATACTGACTTTGCATTTTTCCTATTTATCGCCATAATGAAACTCGGTGGCATGTCACTGAGCTTCTTTAACATTTACAGACGCTCAGGGTGCCCCAACTCAGCTTGTGCTGCAGACTCCAGCTAAAGTGGTCACTATGAGAAACAAGCCTGCTGTGCCACACCATCACAATCACAGCTACTGACTCAAATATGCTTGTCACCGCAAGACAACTGACTTTTTGTGATACTTCTATGGAATGTGTAGGGAATTTGGACAGAACAGACAATCTGTCATCCAAAGGTCCTCTGGACTGTCTTCTTTAGGAGAACACACATGCTCTGGGGGGCATGGATCTTCAGGAGTGATCCAGAGCCAAGAGTTGTATCTTACTGGCACCTGGAGTTTCGCTGGTGAGCCCTGCTTGGGTTACTCACTAAGTGACGGCATGCCACACTGAAATGACAATGGAAACAGAATAGATACTAACTCTTGAAATAGAGAGCAGTCTTGAACTCACAGTCAACGTACATTTCAGAGTCCTGACTGCAGAGAAGTCACATACCCAGAAGTCTGTGAAAAGCATGCAGAATCGCTCCTCTTTCTAGGGACTCTGTGTTCTTAGTCTGTACCCTTCAGTTGGCTTGCCAAGTAAACATGCCCTGAAGTTCTGTTTAAAGGCTGAAGGTTTAGCTGAAGATGATCCGGAATTCAAGTTTGCCGGTGCACCCATCCCGTGATTGAGTTTGCTAAATCCACTTGCCCCACTGTAGTGGATTGCTGTGTTCTTATTATAACATTATCTCCTATAATTGAATTGCTAAAAGCCGACCCATGAAATGCATGCTGTGTGTATAACTAGTTCTCACAGCAGAATGTGGGATCAGGAAAGAATTCTTGCTTTGGGCACCTAGCTCTGCGACTGTAAGTTCTTTAGCAACCTCAAATAGAAGTTTTCAGAGGTCAAATGAAATGTAACACCACACCAGCTTCTTTTGCTAATAGGAAATAGAAGAGTTTGGACTTCAGAAACAGTTCAGTATGCACTGTTTGGAATTATGAAACTTCATTGTGTACCATGTGAAGCTGACTGTATTCTGTGATTTATCTTAATAAAGATATCCGAAAATAAAATTCTCTCCAGTCTCATCCCTGGGAATAGGTGATTCATTATCCCTGCTGCCTTACCCACCCAAAATGACCCAGAAAACTGTTATTAGTTCCTTTTCAAGATTATTATGATAATTTAAAACTATTTGAGTTTTCATATATACATATTTTAGAGACATATTCTTAGTTTCCTAGAAAATTCCACTTAGGATTTGGATATTAATGTTTATAGAACCCATAGTATTGTTCTCTACCAATTGAACTGTAGATGGAGTGTCTCTGTGTCCAAGAAGTAAGCTCTGTTCCTATAGCTGACTCCCGAATAAACATACTGAGACTTATCATTAATTATAAATGCTCGGCCAATAGCTTAGGCTTGTTACTAACTAGCTCTTACAACATTAATCAACCCATGTTTCTGTGTTCTACCATGTGGCTCAGAACTTATCTTGATACTAAAAGTCCATCTTCCTGGGACTGCTTGACACCACGATTTTTTTCCCCAGTATTCTCTCTGCCCTGAAAAATTCTTCCTAGCTATTGACCAGTCAGTTCTTTATTAACAACAAGAGCAATACATCTCCACAGTGTACAGAAGAATCATTCCACAGCATCGAACAATGAGTCGAAAGTAGATAACCAGTCAGCATTCTCTTCGTGCATGTTTTAAGAGTTCTAGCTTATTATAAAAATCTAGAAACACTCTTTGTCTTCCTTTTCTTTTGACCAAATTTCACCTCTACGCGTCCAATTGTGAATTCCGACCCATTCAGGAGGCTGGACATCCTGGGCTGCTACTGGTTCTCTGTTAGCTCTGGGAGCCTGGCAGTCTTCAGGACTCTCCTCCAAGGGCCTCCTCTCTCTTCTCTCCATCCCTCATCCTCCCTCGTGCAGGAGTCCTAGGTTCTTAGCGCCCTCTGCCAGAAGGGTGTGGTGTGCTCAGGTGATTTTTTTTTTTTTTTTTTTTTTTTTTTTTTTTTTTTTGGTTTTGGTTTTAGGAGACAGGATTTCTCTGTGTAATAGCTCAAGCTTTCCTGAAACTCACTCTGTAGACCAGGCTGGCCCCGAACGCACAGAGATCCACCTGCCTCTACCTCCCGAGTGCTGGGATTAAAGGCATGGGCCACTACAGCCGGGACTACCGGCTCTACCACCAGTAGAGAGTAAATGGAGGCGCGCAGGTCTGGGGAAGCTGGAGGCGGAGGCGGTGCCTCTTCTGGTGCCCGCGGAGACTGGGACGCTCCACCAGCTTTCCCACAGCAAGGTCTAGGGCTTTAGCTCTGAGAACTTGGGAGCTCATAGGTGAGCGGGGCGAGTGGAGAAATCAGCACCGGCTTGGGCGGGGAGCGGGGAGCGGGGAGTGCAGGGCATCCCAGACCCCAAAACTTGAGCGCTCCTGAGTGGAGCAGCCCATTTTTGGAAGAGCCCTAGACTTCAGTTCACCAGTTCACAACTCCGGACTTGGAGCGACTTTCACCCCGGGCGGTGCCCACCTGCTGCCTTAGCTTTTCTTTTCTTCTTACTATTCTGTTCTTCCCCACCCGGGCCTTTTTTTTTTTCCCTTAGCCCTCAGGGTTGTCTGATCAAACCCCCCCCCCCCCCCCCCCCCCCCCCCCCCCCCCCCCCCCCCCAATTTCTTTCTGGTTTCACAGTTGTGGGCCTGGAGGGAACACTCTCACCTACTGTGTGAATTCAGCTTCTCAAATGTAAGTGACACAGAGACCACCGACCTGCCCTGCCTATGAGACACTTCTCTGGAGGTAAGGACAGGCTCTGATGTCCCTTCCCCACTCCCTGGGGGCAAGGATCCTGAAAACAAAAATCAATGTGAGGCGCGCGTGCGTGCGTGTGTGTGTGTGTGTGTGTGTGTGTGTGTGTGTG